AATTACCTGAAAAAAAATATCGGTGGGAAGTCGGAGCGATTTCACTGTCCAATACGCCACCTTATCCAAAAACGTCGTCGGCACGTGGTGCTTCTTCAAATCTATCGTCAAATTCGATTTATACGTATCCCACGGCTACAAAAATCCCAAAAAAAAAAAAACTCAAAAAAGCAACCCAAAAAAAAAGTAGGTAAAAAAACTCAAAAAATCAACCCAAAAAAAAAACCGGCAAAAAGAAAAAAAAATATTCCAATTTATTTGCTTGCTTACCCTAAAGCAAGACCACCGCCACTCAGTGCCGTCCTCTTTCGCGATCTTCGAGGGGTTGATCCCCCAGTAACTCGCGACCGCCTTACGCTCACCGGCAGGGACCGCACTAGCTTCTTTCTTCGCTTCGCTTTCTTCGTCGCCGGATATTTTTGCTGCCGTCGTCGCCTCCGTGCTCGCGAATCTCACAGGAGAAACCCTAACCCAAACCTCCGACGATCCCACCGGCGATCGAGTCACCGCTGAAGTGGAGAAGAGGCGAGGGCCGAGATGATTCAGGAGACTCGATCTCACGATTCGGGTAGAACTCAGCATATTTATCGAAAGAAAAAGGAATTATCAAAGAAATTAGAGGTTTTCTTCCTGATGAAATGGAGATTCTTTTTTTTCTTCTTATTTCGGTCTTTTTCGATGGTGGGTTGAAGAAGGGAAGGCGAGGGGATTTTATATAAAGACCGTTAGGTTGGCGCCCAAAACAGGCGGTTACCTTACCGCTTTCAACGGAGGTCTTTTCCAGTCACGTGTTGCCGTAGTCTTCATGAGGTTAGGTGCACCACAGGGTGAGGGGATACTGAACAGCGTGAGACCAGAAGATTCCACAAATATTGTCGGTATAATAACTCGCGGATGATTTCTAATGCCGGCTGCCGGTCCCGCTTTTTATCATGAATGAAAAGGGAGAGGGTATTGGAAAAACTCTGTTGTGAGAGTAATCAGACCGGGGCAAGAAGATTTTCTTGGGAAACAAGCTTACTTTCCCGCCGTCATTATAGAAGTCAAGAGAGCTGGACTGCTGGAGGGGTTTGGGACATGACACGTGTGGTGCACGGGATATGGAAACGTCGAGGGGATTGAATCTTCGTTCAGGCTGAGGGTCTGTTTGACTATTTGTTTTGATTTTTTTGAAGAGGAAAGCCTGTTAAAACAGACTTTTTTGCAAAAACGTTTTTTTAGGGATGTTTTTGCAAGAAAGCCTGTCAAAACTGATAGTTTTTATCAGTTTTGACAGCTTTCACACCACTTTTCTCTTCAAAAAATCAAAACAAACGGGCCCTTAACAGTGCCATAAAAGGGCAATAGATTTCTTTTTAGGGTCATTTGCATATATACCCCTTAGAATATGTGTGCTCATAAAAATACTTTTTAAATCTTAATATTTACAAAATTATCTTTCAAATCATTAATTTTACCAAAAAGTTGCCCTTAAAGTAATTAATTATCAACTTTACCAAGCTAATTTATAATCAAAATGTCAAAAATTATTAACAAAATAATCTAGCTTATAGCACCAACTTGATGATTAATTGGTTTTAGGGGATTTTTTTTTATAAACTTGAAGATTTATGGGGCCGGGTATCTATACAAATAACCCTTCTTAATCAGAAGCATTATCATATAAGATTTAAGAATAGAAGGATTAAGAAAATGTATTAAGTTACAACAAAATAATCGTGCCCATCATATTCCAGTCTGATGTCTATTTACCTGTAGTAAAATATTACGTCAACATCAAGGCTTATTGCAGTCTAAACTTTAAATATTTCTTTTCTATGTATATTTTTGAATATTCTATGTCATATACCAAATTTTATCAGGAGTTAACGGTTAAACTATTCTAAAAGCTGCTTTATTCCTCCATTATCGTTAATTATTTGATGCGTCTTGAATAAATTTTGAAAGATTCTCAGGACGGTTCTTATTTGGTGTGCGTTGACATCACTCATGCCAATATTCTTTTCTATACTTGTTAAGATGCATTGAATTTGTTGAGCTAATCGATTTTTTTGTCATGAAGAGAAATCTAATTGGGCTGCTTTTAAGCATTATTATCATCCAGAGTTTTTAATAGTTTTCACCAAATTGATTCATACATAAAACAAAATTTTCCACGTTCATCGGCATTCTTAATGAGCTCAAATTAAAAGTTCTATCAGTTAAAAGAGAAGGTACCAGTAGTCGTGAATACAGATTTGGATCCTCCATTGGCAAGAAGTAGTAAAGAAACTGTTTTGTTTAATTCGAACCATTCATTATTTGATACATGATTATGTGTTCTCCTCTCGAGTGTAAAATATGAATGGACCCAAATTCATATAGATATGGTAGCTATTATATTTGAAATTATGAATCAAAATATTTCATAATCTTTCATTAAATAATGGTTTAAATTAGAAATAGCAGACTCTCCACTTCTTAGTATCCAAATCCATAAAGCTTTCCAGAATGCGCTAATCGGAAAATTATAATCATACTCCCTTTAATCATATCATATCATACTCTCTTTAAAAGCACGAGGTCGGGAAAATCTTTCCATGGTCAATATTACCCTTAGCTTTTTTGAATATTATATTGTTATCCTAATCTATTCTAATTTTAATCATATCTTATCTAATTCCACGTGAACTATCTATAGGTCAACAATTTAAAAAAAGTTATTTTGAATATTTCACTTAAATCTTAATCTATCCAAATACTAATTATATCCTATATTAACTCCATATGAACTACCTATAACTCAAAAATATAGAAAAAATAAGATTAAGAAACTATATGTAGATAACATATTATAATACATGAAGTATTATAAAAAACCCCAAAAGCTTCAAAATTTACATATAATAGCCTTAAAAGTTTAAAATCACACAAAACACCTTGACTTTTTTAAACTTAAAAACAAACATGATATCTAAACTTGTAATTAACACCCTCAACATTTTTAAAATTATAGAAACAACCTCAAAAGTTTAAAGGCTAAATTAAATTTATATACCCTATGTGTTTCTCTCTTGAAGCAGTTATATACCCTAAGTTACAAAATATAACAAAAAAATACCCTGAGTTGGCAAAAATTTACAAGTTGGTACCTTCTGTTAACCAGCTGTGAGAATATTCTCTGGAATATTCCCACGTGCTGGACCTATGACCAACTTGAATACTTCTTACCCTCATTTATTGTATTATTTACTGTATTACCTATCCCCCACCCCGATGCAAATTAGATTATTTTCATCATCATCTTCTAATTCCTTTTTGTGGCCTCCAACTTCTTCTTCCTCTTTAATATGGGTGACAGTAGAAAATAAGAGATTTCACTATATTGG